CGCCGACACGAACTCCAACCTGAAGGGATTCGCTGGCGGCTTCGTCACTGGACACACACGCCTACTACGTGCCTCAGTACAACGGCGCGTACAGCGGCTACGCGGTGCGCGTCTCGCTCTCCGACTTCTCCTCCTCGGGCGTCGAGTACCTCAACCTCGCCGACACGAACTCGAACCTGAAGGGATTCCGTGGCGGCTTCGCCACCGACGCACACGCCTACTACGTGCCGTCCTACAATAGCGCGCCAAACTTCCACGGATACGCGGCGCGCGTCTCGCTCTCCGACTTCTCCTCCTCGGGCGTCGAGTACCTAAACCTCGCCGACACAGACTCCAACCTGAAGGGCTTCGACGGCGGCTTCGCCACCGACGCACACGCCTACTACGTGCCGTTCAACAACGGCGCGAAGAGCGGCTACGCGGTGCGCGTCTCGCTCTCCGACTTCTCCTCCTCGGGCGTCGAGTACCTAAACCTCGCCGACACAAACTCCAACCTGAAGGGCTTCGGCGGCGGCTTCGCCACTGCCGCACACGCCTACTACGTGCCGCACCACAACGGCGCGTACAGCGGCTACGCGGCGCGCGTCTCGCTCTCCATCTAAGGAACTCAGGGGGTCGTCTGCCGCTTGTGTCCCTCCCCCCCGCCCCCATCTATTGGGAAGGCCTCTGCGCTCTGGGTCGTCCTGGGTCTCTTTCGAGGGTCTCTTGTAGTGGGTGCATTGGGTTGGGGTAGGCCTCTCTCTGCACCACGAGACAGTGGTGGACGGGAGGCGCGAACAGCGCCATCTTGGGTCTTCACGCCGACCAGTGGCTGCTCCCGTCAGTGACAAGGAAGAGGGGCTGAGTGGCCTTCTCAGCCGCCGGCCGCGCGTGCGTGACTCCGTCTACTGTTAACGAACCACGAGCCCTGGTTGCGCGTCGGCAGCAGAGAGTAAATGAGTATTCCACCGCCATACCGTTTTTATCGCGGGGATCAAGAAAGAAGCACGTCATGAAAAAGAAATTTGCGTACGTACCATCTCGGCGGGCGTTACGGATTCGAGCAATACCCAGGTCGAGGTCGATGCGCCTCTCGGTGCAGTGCTGCAGCATCGCACGCCTGTTGCGCGGGATGGAGCATCGACACTAGCCGGAATCCTGGCTGTTCCGGATGCGGGTCCGGCGGCATTTGCAGCGGCGTCTTTGCAGCTGCGAGCGCAGCGCGGTCAGAGACCGTCGGCCGGCGGTCGGCGCACGATGCCGCACAGCTGCGGCTGGAGTGGTGGCTGTGTCGGCATTGCAGAGACGCTGTCAACCACAACTCGGCCACTACCTGCAGCAGATGCGCGTCGAGCGTCAGGGAGATGACGCCATATGCAAGTCCAGCCGAGGTTGCAGCCCTCTCAGCCAACGCACAGCGCACCGCGTATGGTCGGAGACTCAAGAGTGTGCAGGGACAAGAGCAGCCTGTCGCTCTGGCTGTTGCGCAGACGCCGGGCAGCGCCGGCTACGCCAGCGCTGTTCTTGCCCAGATTGCGAGCTTTCAGCCTGGGTCGAAGCGGCTGGAGGCGATGGTGGAGACTCGTGTTTGCCTTTTTGACGGATGGCTCAGGCCTGTCGAGGCTGGTACCACGCTTGCCAGTGTGAGGGGTGTCGAGGGGTGTCGAGGGGTGTCGATGTGTGTCGATGTGTGTCGAGGGTGTCGAGGTGTCGAGCGGGTGTCGAGTGTTGTCAAGAGGCGTCTCTGAGGTGTCGAGGTGTCCAAGGTGGCAGGATGCAGTTGCAGCCCATCGACAAAACTTGGGCAGCAGTTGCAAAGCTGTTTCATCCCTTAGTTGCAGCCTCTCAGTTGCACCCTGTTGATGTAGCACAACCTGAGCACAACCAGTATACTCTCTGTGGACATTTGAGGACATCAAGTGCCGGGAGTCATTGCCACTGTGCACAAAGGTGCTGTGCAGGCGCAGCACCGCAGCAGCGTCGCCGCTGCAGCGTCGTCGCCCCTGCAGCGCCACTGGCGCACAAAGCGCAACTGACCACAGTGCTCCTTTCACAAGGCTGGTGCCATGAGTCAGTGGACATTGCCACTGCGCAAGGTGCTGTCCAGCAGCTACGGCCAGCGACGAACTGGCGTCCGCCAGACAGGTCGCCCGACGGCCCGTCCCAGTCTTGTGCGCCGACAGGTATCGGCACCCCGTTCTCATCTACCTTGGTGGCGTAGTGGGAGTGAACGATTTCCTGTCAAGATGGGCGGTATGGGCCTGACCAGTGGACATTCGTGAGGCGGCGTGGGTCGGCACGTGGGCCCTCGTCACGCGATACGCGAGCTGCACGAGCCATTCCGCGACCTCAACGTTGCCCTCGCGCCGGGAGAGCGTTTCGACGAGCTCCGGGAGGCTCACAAAAGCCTCCGTGCCAAACGCGACGACGTCGGCGCCACGTGGCGCAAGTGGGACGAGCGCACGCTGCACAAGGACGTCGTTGGACCCTTCCAGGAGACCGAGCTGGTGCGACAGCGCCGCTACCACCCGCCCAACCTAGCGCCGGCGGCGGAGCTGGCTGCTGCCTCTTTCGGAGTTCTCGTCTACCAACGAATTCTTACAGCAGGCGCAGCGACGGTACACCTCCGGCGTACACCATCGCAACTGGCTCGCCCTCGCCGAAGCTTTCGTCAGCGAGGCGTCCCAGCGGGGCGGCGCTGCAAGCCTGCCAAAGGCAGGAAGACTGGCAGGTGCAAGAACCACAAGTGCTGGCGCGAGGCGCGATCCGTTTCGTCGCAGTCAGCCAGGAGGGGGCTGGCGCCTTCCTGAATGCGATCCCCATGCGGGATGATATGAAGATGGAGACGTGGGCGATGCGCATTACAGCTCAGCGCCGCCTCGGCCTCCCGCTCGATGTTGCCTGCCAGGCGGTGGAGGCGGGCAAGAAGGCGCCCCCGAGCGGCAAGCCGCACGAAGAACTCGGCGATGCCGCAATGGTTAACCCGCGTGCAAAGCACGCTACAAGACACAAATTCCTACTCAAACGACTCGTCAAGACCCTTCGCTCGGCGTGGGGCATGCTCATCGAGATGGAGCCGATTGCACACCTCAGTTACAGTAACCCAAAACAACCTGACGTGGCGGCGGCGAACATCGGCGACGGGCATGTGCGCCTAGTTGGCGATGTTTAGGCCTTCTCAGCCGCCGGCCGCGCGTGCGTGACTCCGTCTACTGTTAACGAACCACGAGCCCTGGTTGCGCGTCGGCAGCAGAGAGTATTCCACCGCCATACCGTTTTTATCAAGAAAGAAGCGCGTCCGTAAAAGAAATTTGCGTAAAAAAGAAATGCGGGCGCGAACCCCCCCCGCTGGTTGTGCGTCCAAGATAGTCCGAGTCACGCAGGAACGGTCACGGGTCAGCACAGCGCCGCAGCGGGGGGTTCCCGGGGGAAAAGAATTTGCTCGCGTGAGAGAGATGCGGCGATCGCTCCACGAAAGCAGCTCAGCCGAGGTCAATGGCCGTCGACACCGTGCGCTGGACCGGCTCCCTCGAGAACACGGACACGTCGTCGTGGTCCGACCAGAGCCACTGGTCCGGAGAGCCGAACACCGCATCCCTGATCGAGATCTGCGGAG